TATAAATAGTGTAATAAAAACAATAACAGTATGGTGAGAGGAGGGGTGATGGCAAGTACGATGTTGGAGGAGAGAGGGAGGACTGGCTGGCTGGGTGTGGCAGCTCACACTCGCAGAGTTCAGAGTGTGTTTATGGTGTGTGTATATAGTGTGTGACAGTGTATAGTGTGTAAATGTGTTGTAAATATACATAAATGAACATAAAACATTTGTGTGAATAACAGTATGGTGGGAGGAAGGGTGATGGTGAGTACGATGTTGGAGGAGTGAGGGAGGACTGGCTGGGTGTGGCAGCTCACACTCCTGGAGTTCTGAGTGTATTTATGGTGTGTATAAATATTGTGTGATACTGTACAGTGTGTAAATAGATTGTGTATATATATATTAATTAGCACAATACATTGGAAATATGTGCCGGATATGTGTACACATGTGTCATGCACGTAACACAGTCTCTTCGGACACTACGGATGTTCTGCTGCCATAATATAGTGTACGTGTTCATTATACATATGATTGGCACATAAAAACAAATAAAATGTATATGGAACTGTGTGCAAAAAATTAACAAAAATATATTCACGGCAGCACGCGCATCCTGCCCCAGGTGCCCTACTGTACACCACGCCCTACTGTACTTACCCGGGAGTGTACACCACAGGCAAACGGGGAATGATGACGTCACGCACCAACTTATGTACCCCAACGCAGCCAAAGTAAGTACAATTTTGACTTTCAGTTACTATACCCCATACACAGGGAAGGGTTTTTGACATTTTTGAAAAAAAAAAAAAAAAAAAAAAAAAAAAAAAAAAAAATTCCAGAGAATTTATTTCCTGCGCACTAGGGGTGGGGGGTGCCATATTTGGAAGCCGTGCAGTTGAGGGGTTAAGGTTTTGTCCCATACTTCCTGGGGAGCTGATAGGCGCATGCTCCTCTCTTTACATTCCTCTCTCGTCCTGTCTAAACTCGATTATGGTTGCTCTGCTTACTCGTCTGCTTCTCCTCCTACTCTTTGCCATCTTGATGCTTTGCACCATACTGAGTTATGCCTCGGCTCTGGTTCCTTTCATTCGACTCCCGCCCTGAACTTGTAGTAGATACTGGCTTCCTGTCACTCCAGGACTGCCATGATCACTATTGTCTTCTCTATCTTGCGCAGTCCTAGCAACATCCTTCCTCTCGCCCCAGTTGGGCTTTGACTTTTACCCCTCCTGTAGTTCCTGTTCCTCTTCACCACCTCCCTCTTTCTGTCCAGTTATCTCGCTTAAAGGATTCTCTTTCGGTTCGTATTTCTAATATTTCTCCTCGTATTGTTCCTTCCTTGCAAAATTTTGTACTCCAAAAATGTTGTACTCCAAAATTTTGTACAGTGGTACCTCAGAATACAAGTGTCCCTGTATATGAGTTTTTCGGAATACGAACAGGATTTGCTTGGAAAATTTGCCTCGGAAAGCGAGGGTTGCCTTGGAACACGAGGGTGTTGATACACGTACAGGCCGACTAGAGCGTGATAGCACAGCGATCGCGCCTCAGTTTACCAGTACCTTGCGCCCAGTGATTATCCCGCCTGAATTCTCCACGAGGATTTGTTTTTTTTTGTCAGATTTTTGGCCATTTGAGCATAAAAGTTATTATAAATCTCGCCATGGGTCCCAAGAAAGCCAGTGGTAAGAAAACCTAAGAAAACCTAAGAAAATAGTGCGGTGTCCTGACATTAATTTTTGATGTACGTATTTTATTTTTGTACCAATGTGTTTGCAATAGAATATTCTAGAAGAACATACATATAAAATGTCACACAAGGATGCATTAGACCGGCACCAAATAAAAAACTACGTCGATTACACTTGTCATGTCAACAATACAATGGTCTTACCTCGATGGTGCAATGCTATGCCGTTCTCCCAAATAGGCCATGCGGCTATTAGAGAAAATGGAAATTTTAAGGCGAACATTTTCAAACTATCCCAAAGTCGATCGCAAAACAAATAGAGTTTATAGAAATATTTTTTCTCGTAACTCGTCAGCGAATCTGCTGTGTGACCTCAACACAAAAAGTGGTAACGCTCTCGAGCGCCATGACAACGCTAAAGTGTTAAGAAAATGTGTGAAGTACGAGAAGATTTGGAAAGTTTTGTTGAAAAAACTCGCCCAGATAAAGCTGTAGTAGGCCGTTGCATTAACCTTTTAAATGACAATGTACTCACCTAGTTGTACTCACCTAGTTGTGCTTGCGGGGGTTGAGCTCTGGCTCTTTGGTCCCGCCTCTCAACTGTCAATCAACAGGTGTACAGGTTCCTGAGCCTATTGGGCTCTATCATATCTACACTTGAAACTGTGTATGGAGTCAGCCTCCACCACATCACTTCCTAATGCATTCCATTTGTCAACCACTCTGACACTAAAAAAGTTCTTTCTAATATCTCTGTGGCTCATTTGGGCACTCAGTTTCCACCTGTGTCCCCTAGTGCGTGTGCCCCTTGTGTTAAACAGCCTGTCTTTATCAACCCTGTCAATTCCCTTGAGGATCTTGAATGTGGTGATCATGTCCCCCCTAACTCTTCTGTCTTCCAACGAAGTGAGGTTTAATTCCCGTAGTCTCTCCTCGTAGCTCATACACCTCTCAGCTCGGGTACTAGTCTGGTGGCAAACCTTTGAACCTTTTCCATTTTAGTTGACTAGATATGGACTCCATGCTGGTGCCGCATACTCCAGGATTGGTCTGACATATGTGGTATATAATGTTCTGAAAGATTCCTTACACAAGTTTCTAAAGGCCGTTCTTATGTTAGCCAACCTGGCATATGCTGCTGCTGTTATCCTCTTGATATGAGCATCAGGGGACAGGTCTGGCGTGATATCAACCTCCAGGTCTTTCTCTCTCTCTCTCGGACTCTTGAAGTATTTCATAATGTGATGTCTTACTATAGACAAGTGTTAAAATGTAGGGAAAAACAAGTCTCTTTAGACAGATTCTTAGTAAGACAAGCAAGTCTTAGTGGTATGCAGGCAAAACGTGCCAGAGTGTGCACACCAGTGAAGTCCTCACTGCCTGATGTTATAATGGAAGGGGACTCCCCTTCCAAACAGTAACACCTCTTCTCCCTCCTCCTCACCATCTTCCATACACCAACAGCAGCCATCAGCAAGGTAAGTAATAACTTGAACATAGTTTTGTAGGTTCATTTAGATGAATTAGGTATAAAATTTAGTTTGAAGTGAGGTTTTTGCGGTAGTCAGGAACGGATTAATTCATTTCCCATTATTTCTTATGGGGAAATTAGCTTCGGAATACGAGCTGTCTCCAGGAACAGAATAAACTCTTAAACCGAGGTACCACTGTACATCCTTGACCCATAACACTAAATCTTTTACCCCTCCTACGGTTCTGAAATGCCTTTTCCTTGAGCACTTTTCTGCACATTACCGCTCCGTTTCCATCTTCACCGATGGGTCTAAGTCTGCGGACGGTGTAGACTACTCTGATATTTTTCCTGACCGCACTTATATGTGTCGCCTTCCTCCGGAGATAAGCATCTTCACAGCAAAACTTTATGCTATTCCTTATGCTCTTCGTCTCCTACTTTCTTGTTGTCAATCCTCCTTTGTGGTTGTAGTTGACTCTCGTAGTGCCCTCATGGCTCTAGGGTCCTTTAATCCTGTCCATCCGGTGGTTGTCAAGATTCAACATTGGCTGTTTCTTATCTTCAGTAAATTTGAATCCGTAGAGTTTTGCTGGGTTCCCAGCCATATTAGTATTTCTTTAACCACTGTGATGCACCAAGTTTATTGTGAAATTCTCCTAATGCGCATGAAATCAAGTATTCCCAAAAAATTATTTTTTCTTCTTAAAATGAAGAATTCCCTTCCCTGAACATGTATATGTAAAAATGTCAAATTTCACTTACTTTGGCCATGAGGACATGGATAAGGTGCGCTGTGACGTCATCAAGGGCTGGTCGCCCGTGCGTGAAGCTTCCAGACACGGTCGCGCGGGCCACTCAAGACCTGCCAGTTTCCGCAATTATATTTACAATTATTATTTCTATGTATTTTCATTGCTTTCTACTGTTTTTTCTCGTATCGTATCTGATGTATATGTGTGTCCTCACAATGTATATAAAGTATAATGTTCATAATGTTCCATGAAGCTGTGATACATGTGTCACTAATGTGTCCTCAATAAATTTTTATTGTTGCAATGTTACTTGTTCTACATTCACTAATAATACATTATATAGAGTTTCACACACTATTTACAAAATAATACACTGTATTACACTCTTAGTACTTATCAAGCGAGTGATATTCAAAGAAGCAGTCCATGAGACAAAGCGGAACTTTGCACTTGACGCATATGGTACACTCAGATTTTCGCTTCCTTGGTTTTCATTCTGAGTTCATTCAAACAATGCTCTCACATATGCCTTTAGCCTTAGTTCCTGAAGGTGGTAGGTAGGCAGGCTTGTAAATTGCAAAGGCGTCTTTACCAGTCAGTCTGTTGGAAACTAAATGTGCTCTTGTTGGGGCATGATAAACTGTCTTTACGCTGTCTTCCTGGCCATACTTGACAAGTAATTGCAACAGCAGAGCATGACTAAACACTCGAATTAATGTTTTTTTTCTCGTTTTCACCAAAAACATGTTGAAACAGTTGAGCACTGTTACGTTCACAAGATGAAAGAAGAATTTCCTTGTCCACTTTACACTTTTGCGGACACACTCGACAGCACCAACCATCATGTCACATTTATCTACAAGTCTCATATTTATATTGTAGTCAATGATACAATCTGGCTTATACAATGATCCATCACCTTGATACCTCACTTTACCACTGTCAAGCATTTCACCAGTGTGAACAGTAGACAACATACTGACTTCACATTTGTCTTTCCAATGCACTGCTAATATTTTGTCACATTTTCCAAGTTCACACTCATCTACACCAATATTATTTTAGAAAACTGGCATTTCTTTCCTATTTGTCTTTACAGTGCCACACACGCCCGTGTTATGTTCAAGCAAGAACTTTGTTAGCGAGGGGCTTGTGTAATAATTGTCAGTGCACAGAATGTGCTCCCTTGTTCAGCAGTGGTTCCATTAGCGTCTTCACTACACTGCCAGAAAACCCGTGAGGATTCTCTGCGGGTATGTCTACGTCTGTACCAGGATATAATATATCGATCACCATTCCGGTTTCACAGTCGCACAGTACAAAAAATTTGAGGCCAAAACAGTGCCATTTCGATGGGATGTACTGTTTGAAGAGTAGACGTCCCTTGAAAAGAACTAGGGATTCATCAATGACAACATTGTGTCCAGTACAAAGTAATCATGAAATTTCCCTCTGATATCACTGAACACTTTTTGCACTCTCCAAAGTCGCTCATTTCTAAAAAAAAAATTCAAGGTTTTCAGAGTGTAGGCACTGTAGTAGGTTCAGGAACCTGTCTCGTGACATGTATTTGTTGAAGACAGGTGATGGAACAGCAGCTTCTTTGTTCCAATAATCCTGTATAACATACAGCTCAGCCACGGTGGTGTCCTTCCAGCGTATCATACGTGAAGCCTGCAATATGCCACTTTCAACAAGTTGCCCTGCATATCTGTTGGTTTCGGCAGCAAGATGTTGCATGAACGGCTCATCAAAATATGCAAGAAAATAGTCCGATTCCGTCGTGTCGTCACCTGTGTACAGGAACGTGGGTCCCCCACATCACTATGATCAAATTGAGGTTTGTGTGGTACAAAAATATCACAGTCCTCCCTCACAAATTCAGCCGTTCTTCTTGTAGCACCGCCACGAGCAACTCCACTATGAGTGCGTTTTCTTGCACTAAATCTCCTTTGGGGAGGAGTTTGAGGTCTACTAGTAGGGCGAGCAGGGAAAGTAGATGTAGAGGCAACACTGTCGTCAGTGTCGTCGTGAGGGGATACTTGGTGGCGCTTGGCAGGGCGACCTGCTGAGACAGCAGATCTGTGCCTGGTAACACCACGACAGCAGCTAGTGCTAGCCCTTGGCTCATCTGTGCTACTTGTATCAGAAACAGCATCACTAAACCCAGAAAATGACTCGAGTATCACTTTGGTCAAAAATGGGAGATAGTGGTGGCAGTGGTGGAGATAATACTGGCAAGGGCGATGACCTGTGGTGCTCCACTGTGCATGCAGTTTGCCCTGAACGATACGCGCTCATTGTATCGTCTTCATCTGTATCTGTTTCACTTCCATCAGAACCTTGTGTTATGTTTCTATCGGTCTTTGGGTCATCAATATATTATTCCATTTCATCTTCAAACAATAAACTGTTTATTGCCCCTGGAGAAAGCAGTCTTGCAACAGCACGTCCCACAGGCGACTGGGAGCTGGAGGTGCATGCATCAGCCATGGTTTTTTGACCAGAACTAAGGCTACGGCATTCTGGGATTTTTTTCAAAATGGCTGCTGCTCACTGACGGCCTCAGGCATACATCTTGTACACAACCAGCCGCGCTGGTTTAGAATGGGTACGAAAAAATAAAAAAGTTTTCTCGGTTGACGCAGTTTCCCACCGACCGAGAACACTCAGTTTGTGCAGTTCAGTGGTTAACCCTTAAATGGTGCATGGCTATATACCATTTGACACCCACAGGCACACAAAAAAAAAAAAAAAAATTTTTTTTTTTCTTCCTAACCTGTTAATTTGTGTTCACTGATCATGGGAAAAATAATAAAAAAATCGTAAGTAGCATATATTGCCCGCTATAGGGCGGTAAAGTCTGGCAAAAAACTGGCGCTGACTCAGTGTGCATCCCAGGCGGTCTGTTGCTCGCCAGCTGTCAGGCTGGAGTTGCCACCAAGAGATAATTACCTAATTATTTTAATGTCTCTAATTGATTTTTCGTAGTTTTTTTGCTGCAATATTATTCAATAGTGTGTAGTGTGATATATTTATATAATAAAATGAGTGAATCATCTCTGTACTCAAAAATATGGTGTGCATATTGTTGATTCAATTATGTTCATCAAACAGTGAACAAATACTTTGTTGGTATTACACTATATACACAGGTTATATATAAGTATCTGCATGTTTTGTTCACCATAACGAACCACTAAGTTGCTATTATGAGTCAAAAAGTAATGAGGAGTGACCGCCACATTCCAGCCAGCCACTCACTCCCTCCCTCAACACCTCACTCGCCCACATTCTCCTCCCACCATACTGTTTTTGCTTTTATTCACTATATACAGATGCTATATATAAGTATCTACATTTGTATTCACCATAACGAACCACTAAGTTGGTATGCTGAGTGGCAGTGGCAGCCCACCACTGGCTGCCACTCACTCCCTCCCTCACCTCATGTGACTTGCCACCATTCTCCTTCCACCATACTGTTCTTGCTTTTATATACAGACGTTATATATAAGTATTTACATGTTTTGTTCACCATAACTGTACATCTAAGCTTGTATGGTGAGTGAAGGCACAAAGATGTAGGACCTCACACAGTCAGCTGGTAGCTGCCGCCCTCAAGGCCAGACGCACTAATATTTCTCCTCCAACAATACTTGTTTGTGGTGTTATTACGCTATATACACACATTATATATAAATATCTACCTGTTTTATTCATGATACTTGTACAAGTAAACTGGTATGGTGCCCAAAGACCATCGTGGTCACCAGTAAACAACATGATAAGTCGTGCAGACGACGCCACCGCCCTCACCAAAATGGCGGCTCCCAACCTACTCCTCTTGCTGTTTATAACCTCTATACACATGTTATATATAAGTATCTACATTTGTGTTCACCATAGCGAACCACTAAGCTGGTATGGTGAGTGCAGTCAATAAAAGGTGGCCACACACAGTCAGAAGACAATGCCACTACCCTCCCCTCCCACAGCATTACTCCTCCCAACATGGAGCACAGCGCTAAATATCACCACAATCCTGCTATTATCAGAACCCTGGTCAGTTTTATCACAGTCAGGGGTCTTCTGTAATAATATCATCGTTACATAATAGCATGAACAAGTATATTATGGCATTTTTAGGCGATGCTGTGGTCACAAGCTGAACAGCAGTGCTGTGAGCTCATGCTGGGTGCGTCAGACTTGGTAGCTCACTCAATACCGAGGCCCCTAACACCTGGGAATTTGGCCCACAATTTTTTTTTTAAAATGGCGTCTGTTTACAAGAGCCCTGATAAAGGTGTGGTGAACCCTGTGTATCCGCGGGCCGTTTAAATCTTGCGTAGTACTCCAAAGCATCATATGATGCGATGTGCAATTTACTGCAAGTTGGTCAAAGCATCATATGATGCGATGCATGCGCAATTTAAGGGTTAAATGCGGATGCTGCCGTTAGAGAAGCTATCCGCTCTTGTTCCATCTCCCATAAAGGTATTCCTTATTCCGACTTTTATCCGGTTATTCATTCCTCCATCCTTGCCCGTTGGCAGAGTAGTTGGTCTTCTGTTGGTAACAACCTGCCTACTCTTAAGCATAGTGTGTCGCTGTGGCCTTCCTCCTACCACCGTAACTGGCGGTGGGAAACAGCTCTAGCAAGATTGCGTATTGGCCATAACTCAGGGTCACTTAATGGAATGTCCTGACTTCCAGGATGAGCGTGTGTCTTGCTTTCCGACCGTCCCTCGCGGTCACTTGTCTCGATAGAATTCTTGGTCAGAATTCTTGGTCATTCTTGGTCTAGGGAGCCAGTGGCTGAGCGGACAGAACACTGGACGCAAGATCCTGTGGTTCCGGGTTCAATCCCGGGCGCCGGCGAGAGACAATGGGCAGAGTTTCTTTCACCCTGATGCACCTGTTACCTAGCAGTAAATAGGTACCTGGGAGTTAGTCAGCTGTCACGGGCTGCTTCCTAGGGGTGGAGGCCTGGTCGAGGATTGGGCCGCGGGGACACTAAGCCCCGAAATCATCTCAAGATAACCTCAAGATATTGGTGAATCAGATACTTTTGATTTTATTCGCCTTATGCGTTTCTGTTCTCGTATTGGCATCCTTGGTGATATTTAGCGCCCTCTGATTATTCCGCACATTTGATGGTGCTACATAGCCTTCCCGGTTTGGTGCCTTCTTTTGATAATTACTTACTTACTTCATTTTAGGAAGATTGGCTGCAATGCATTATAATGGAGAAGAGAATGGGGAAAGTGAAACAGTTGAAAAACTTGACATCAGGAGAGGACATTATGAGGAACTTAGCAATTTCTCTAATGAATTTGATTGGAAAGATTTCATTTGGAAATCTAAGATTTGTTATTAGTCCAGAAAGTTGAAATATGCCAAATATTGTGAGGTATATAATGAAAGTAAAAAAAATTATATTTCAAAACAAAGATACAAAACTAGAAGAGAGTATTGGTTCAACAGAAATTTCACAAGGGCCAGAGAACAAAAGAAAATAAATGTAATCAGTATTGAATTGACCCAACCATCAAACAAACATATCGGCAATACAAGCAAGCATGACACAATTACAGGGCAGTGAGAAGAGAGGCAGAAAGAAATTTTGAGGGAGAAATAGTGGACAAATGTAAAATAGAATTCAACCTACAGCATTTATAAATTCATGAAAAGCAAGTTGCATGTGACGCAGGCATGTCAAACTGAGGGTCCCCCAAGGGCCATATGGGTCATATTTTTGTTGTCATGAGGGCCATACATGACAACTAATTAAAGTAATTTAATAAAATTATTGCAGAGTATTTTTATTACTTAACCACTGCACTGCATTAAAATATGATACCCCCATGGTGCCCCAAAAAATGCTTTCCAAAAAATTATTTTCTCTTCTGTTGTTAAAATGCACCCTCTGATCACGTGAAACTAAAAAAAATATATGTGACATACTTTGGCCGTGATGGAGCTGGGAAGTTGAGCAAATTATGCACTCTGAGCGATGGAGCACTCAAGGTCACTCAGCCTCGCCATCCCGTGGAGTGGCAGTTGCCATGAATATAATATTTCACAATTATTTTGATGTTTCTCATTCGTTTCTTCTCTAGTTTTTGCTGTAATATTATTCAAAAGTGTGTGTAATTTTTGGAATTTATATAGGTCAATGTGTTGAACATCTATATTCTCAAAATTATTGGGCTCATATATGTGTGTGACACATTATATTCTATGATCAAACAGTGTTTTTGCTGTTATTACACTATATACACACATTGTATTTACCTATCTACATGTGTGTTCACCATAACGAGCCACAAAGTTCGTATGGTGAGCCCAAAAAACAAGAGTGGGCTGCCACACCCAGCCAGCCCTACCTCATTCCTTCAACTCTAACTCGTCCACATTACTCCTCCCACAATACCGTTCATGGTTTTATTACACTATATACTCACACACGTTATATATAAGTATCTACATGTTTTATTCACCATAACTATACAAATAAGCTGGTATGGTGTCCAAACAACATAGTGGCCACCATACACTTGTATGGTGGCCAGTGCACTGCATGACAAGTCACACAGCAGCCAACCGACGACGCTACCTCCCTCGCCAAAATGTCTTCTTCCAACATACTCCTTTTGCTGTTATTATACTCTATACACACGTTATATATAAGTATCTACGTGTTTTATTCACCATAACTGTACAACTAAGCTGGTAAGGTGTCCAAACAACATAGTGGCAATAAAACACTGCATGAGAAGTCACACACATCCAGCAGACAACGCTATCACCCTTCCTCCTCACCATGATTACTCCTCCCACCATACTATGCACATCTCTAATTCTCACCACAATGCTGCTATTATCAGAATATTGGTCACTAAATTCTATAAATGAATAATTTCCCACAAGTTTATTTTGTAATGAAACATGAGAAGTCATTTGATGATTCTTAGATGGATGAAATAATGGCAGTGTGCTGTTTCCAGTGCTGTGAACATCTTGAACAGCATTGATTCACTGATATCTGAACATTGTACTAAGTCTTTATCTCAGTCAGGCTCTTCTGTAATACTATCATATCTAAATAAAACCGGTTACATATATATTTTGACATTTTTTAGGCGATTCTGTGGTCACAAGCTGAACAGCAGTGCTGTTAGCTGATGCTGCATGCACCAGCCTTGGCTGCTCACTCAATACTAAGGCTCTCGTATTTACTAAAATATTAATTAATGTACAGTATATTGTTTTCCGTGCATTGAGAAAGTAAGGTTTCATATATCCTGATAATCTAGTTTTCTTAACAAAAGTTTAACAAATGCTCCTAAATATGCTTCATGAATCTCATTCAAGCCATACTGATCTTTTCCTTTGCAGCTCATGAATGTACTTCACGAGAACCTTGCAGTTCCAGAATCTGGTGGCATAAGCTCATTCAAGTTACAGAAAAATGGCATGTACAGCATAAAGTTCCATCACCATGTTTTCCAAAGTCTCAGGCTGGGTTACAAGAAAAGTAAAAATTTATTCCATTAATGGTTAAAGCATAGATAAAACCTAAAGTTAACCTTTCTTCAGTGTTCATGTCCTACCATTAACATCCAGTGTGTAGCCTATACAGTATATCCTTTTACATGTAAATATTTTATAATGTACAACATTAGTACTCATTACAGTAAATTTTTATCCATTCATTTGAAGTGGGTCACACATAATATGACCAACTAGTGCATTGAATTTCATGAAGCCATCAGAGATATCTTGCCTATTCTGTGAACATTGAAGTTGTACCTATTATCAGAGATAATGTGCATTTCACACAAATCTTCTATAATTTTGTTGAATTTACATGACTCTTTTTGTTATGCAGAGTGTATTCCTGGTCTTAAATGTTTATTCTGGTGCAGTTTGACAAGTTATTAATATTTAACTAATGTACTGTTGTATTAAATGAAAGCAAACTGTAAGATGTATCTTAGAAAATCCAAACCAAGGGTCCCTAGCAGTAAATAAGTACCTGGCAGTTAGACAATTGTTGTGAGTGTCATCTTGAGGAAGGTCAGTAGTGGGCTAAAGGGAACTGTAATAAGCCTTACGAACAGGGCTTCCTGTCCTTGACAGTGTGAAACCTTTTGAAAAGTTTGTCATATTAGAGATAACCCATTTCATTGATTTTTTTTGTCTTCACAAAAGTCTGTTTTATGTTCAAATCTTGTTTTGGTGTAGCAACTATTTCATACAAATATTTTCTAATCTATTTTGTAATGTGTAAAAATTAAGTCGGGATTGATATCTCATTTAGTGTTTCCTAAAAACTCAAACAAGTTAGAAAAGCTATTTATTTTAATACTCATGTGCTGTAGATTATATTAGAACAATTGCCAATGTTCTTAGCATAGTAAACAAAGACATTTTCCCTAGAAATGTGGATGTTCATATAGAGAGATCATAATTTGTTGGGAAGGAGTAACTAAGTAAACTTGTAATAGAAATTTCATCATCAAAACACACCCATAGATTTTACTAAACATTTTTACCGATGTTCCGAGATTGAAAAATCATTTATAAATTAATCTAATTTATAGAAATACTAGCTGTCATACAATGGAGAAATCATGTAAGATTTAATGCCTATACACTGTACAGTAATACCTATCAAAATGTGTACCAATACCAAATCATAAAATACAAGAGCAAGATCAAAATCATTTAGTTTTCTAAATCCTTTAAATAAATACAGTGCTGTATTTGATATACTATAATAAAGTATTATAATTATATAATATGATGATGATATAATTTTAACATGAGTGAATTTCCATAAAGGTGAAAAATCATATTGATGTTCAGTGTCTAAATGACTTCACAAAAAATGCATCTTCTAAGAAATATTAGAATTCATAGGGGAGAGAAACCATATCAGTGTTTAGAGTGTCTTAAAGACTTTTCACAACAGTCACTTCTAGCTAAACACATGAGAGTTCATTCAGGAGAAAAGCCATATCAGTGTTCTGAGTGTCTAAAAGGTTTTTCAGAAAAATCACTTCTTGCTAAACACATGAGAGACCATTCAGGAGAGAAACCATATCGATGCTCAGTGTGTCTAAAAGACTTTTCACAAAAATCAGCACTGACAACACACATGAGAGTCCACACTGGAGAAAAATTGTATCCATGTCCAGAGTGCCTAAAAGACTTTACACAAAAATCAAATTTAGAAAAACATATGAGAGTTCATAGAGGAGAGACACCATATCAGTGTTCAGAGTGTTTTAAAGACTTTAAAGATAAATCAAATCTAGTAAGACACATGAGAATTCATACAGGAGAGAAACCATATGAATGTCCAGTGTGTTTAAAAGACTTTTCACAAAAATCAGTTTTAGCAACACACATGAGAGTTCACACTGGAGAGAAACCATTTCAGTGTTCAGAGTGTCTAAAAGACTTTACACGAAAATCCTTTCTTTCATCGCATATGAAAGTTCATTCAGGAGAAAAGCAATATCGGTGTTCAGAGTGTCAAAAAGATTTTTCACAAAAATCTTATCTAACAACACACATGAGAGTTCATACAGGAGAGAAACCGTATCAGTGTTCAGTGTGTTTAAAAGACTTTAAACAAAAATCACATCTAGCAAGACACATGAGACTTCATACAGGTGAGAATTATTATCAATCTTCAGATCATTTGAATTCTCAAGAAATTGAAACCCTATCAGTGCTTTGAGTGTCCAAAAGTCTTTTAATGTAAATTGTCTTGTGTAAAACATTTGAAGATTTATGCAAAAGATAAATAACCATATCAATGTTCAAAATATCTGAAAGATTTTTCTCAGAATTCTAATATACTAACAAAAGTTACTTTATAAAGAAATTAAATAAGATCAGAGCTTTGAACATATTATATACAGTAGTATATATATTTGCTTTAACTAATAATTTTAGACTGATGATAAAGAATAGAACTACTATGGCATTCAGATTGTTTAAATTATTGCTGCAAATCTGTTCTTTAAGAAGGTACTTGGGGAAGACTGAACTTGCATCTCTGGATTTCCCAATAAAACATGCGCTATGATGAGCTTAAAATTATCTTCACCAGAAGTTCTACTGGACTTTGAGTTTTAACCCTTGGGCATCGGTTATTGTCCTGGTTTGTCTCATTACCTGGGGGTAATGAGGTTTTTGTCATATAACGATTTAAACGTATTGTTTGGGTTTTACATGTATAATGCAAAAATGGTTATAATAGTTCTTTGTGGATGTAAGTAAAGAGAAATAATTGATAAACAATCGGTGAAACATCCGAGGATTAAACAAGAAGAATTAGCAAAGTTGGGCACCGGTTATTGACAGGCACTGGACCCACCACCACACAATGTTCTAGAGTGCCTCCATCCAGTGAAATGACAAAAATTCTCATATTTCCGTGTTTTTCTTACATTTTGAATACAAATTAATAATTCTATAATAAAAAATAATGTTTTAAAATTTTTTTTGCTCACAGGTATGACGATAGCCTCCGTAGCCACTGTCAAATGGTTAAAGGCATCAGCTGGTACCTACAATAAATTTTGTGAGATTTTACACTTGAATGTATGTTGTGATGTTTCCACCTTGTGCAACAATCACTTGCACCATGAAATCACGATAATGTGATGTATTTAACACTTTCAGCTCACGGCGATGGATATCGCATCCATAATTAACAATATGTATGTCAGGCAGACACACATTTTGCGTCCAAAATTAAAATATTTGTTAAGATTCAATTTATTATTTGATTATTATGTGACTACTGTAATTTTAAAATATGGGCCTTTAGATTGCGAATAATTTGATACCAAAATGAAAGATGTAGCACAGAAATTGAGGTCAGAACACTGGAAGAGTATACACATTTTAACGTGGGTGCGCGCTCCTGGGGAAACGCCAGGCCCCCCTTGGGGCGGGCTGAAGCACGCACCAGGCTGCACAATGTGTTAAGGAAGTATCGTGGAAGTGTTTCAACACCACCCATTGCCATAATATTTTCTTAGATGCATCATGTTATTGTGATTTCATTGTGCAGTTAGTTGTTCATGTTAAATATTCTCAGCTTAATAAGCTAAAAAGCTTAGAGGAAACAGCTGGGAAAATAGCAAGTGGCTTGCAAGTCAAAATAAATATTAGAATATTCGGTACTGCTTATTGAATCTGGAGAAAGTAAACAAAATACTGAAGTGTGTGTATATTTGAGGTTTGTGGACTTTTGTGAAATGCATTAAAGAATTTTTTAGGAGATCTTATATTGGCTTCAAAGGCATAATGAGTGATTGGTTTGAAATACAGTACAGTAAATACTTACTCTGTATGATATAAAAATAATTAATTTGGATTTGGGGAACTGAATTTTAACACCAAAATTCAAACTGTGCTAGGTTGGCTTTACCCATATGCAAATTAGTGTGTGAGATTTGTGTAATGAAGATGTTTTAATACATGTTACCCAAATATTAGACTTTGACCTTGAAACTCCTTACACTTGTGTTTCTGAAACTTAATTACAGTACATTCGTGCCTTTTAGTACATTCTAATAATTTTGCATTTCATCATGTTATGTATTTGTGTATGTTAAAATGATGGGTGTATTTAATAATAATGTTTAAGTTGCTATGGTGTTATTGAGAGAATAAAAATTAATGAGCTTTCTAAGCTCTATGGAATGTAACTCGGAGCTATTACATTTGACTTCTTTCTGAGATAAAATCCACAGTCAGGCAGAATGACATAGCACTAGTGCCACAACTTTCCAAGCGTTCCCTACAGGTTATTTATAAGTGCTAGGGTGTTCCAGTCCAAAATGACCAACAGTGTTAAATTCCCTCGAAGGTTTTGAACCTTTTTTTGGTATCACAAGAAAGTGAATGAGATGTACGTCAAGTTTTGTGAAATATATGATAAAGGCACAAAAAAATTTATACCAAAACAGAGATGCAGAACTAGGGAAGAGGATTAGTTCAACAGAAATTGCAAGAGGGCCATTGACCAAAAGACACAAAAATGAAATCAGTACAGGAAGAGGCCAAACCCCCAAACATACCAGTGATACAAAGATGTGAGAAACAACTACACGGCAATGAGGAGAGAGGCAGAAAGAAATTTTTAAAATGGGATTGCAGACAAATGTAAAACAGAACCAGGTCTATTCTATAAATTCATAAACAACAAATTGCAGGTAAAGGATAATATTCAGAGGTTGAAAATGGGAAATAGATTCCCGTAAAAAGAAAAGGAAATGTGTGAAACACTAAACGAAAAGTTCCAAAGTGTGTTTGTTCAAAATGAAATCTTCAGGGAACCAGACACAATAAGAATTCCAGAGAACAACATAGAGGTGTCTAGAGACGAAGTGGAAAAAATGCTCAAGGAGCTAAATTTATTTATTTATTAATTTATATACAAGAAGGTACATTGGGATTGTGAGGATACATAGTATAGTACTGTAATTACAATCTTGTAAAGCCACTAGTACGCGCAGCGTTTCGGGCAGGTCCTTAATCTAAGAAAATTTTAAGTAGGTAAATACTTTCAAAATTTATAAAAAATGATAACAGTTACAAAGCAAGAAAAAAATAAAAGATGAGAGAAAATTGTAGGTATATTAAAGCACATAAGTAGCTCAGATTGATTGCAAAGACAGCTTGAATGGTAGTTGACAAAAATTAGTAGGCACAATACAGCATATGGCTAGCACATAAAAGAAGACAGCAATGAACACAATGATAAAGTTGTTTGGGTTAAGTACATAAAGATTGGGAGATTAAGTAACACTAGATACAGAGCAAATTTAAAGCTCAGTGTAGGAAACAACGAAGATGAAATTAGGTACTTTTTGGTTCTGTATTTAAATGAGGCAAAAGTTTGACAGCTTTTCAATTCACTAGGGAGTGAGTTCCATAGATTAGTTCCTTTAATTTGCATAGAGTGTTTACACAGATAAAGTTTGACCCTGGGGATATCAAAGAGATATTTATTTCTGGTGTGGTGATAATGGGTCCTGTTATATCTGTCCAGGGAAAGTTTCAGAGCATGGTTTGCATTTAAGAACAGAGTTTTGTAAATGTAGTTGACACAAGAGAATGTGTGGAGGGAGTTAATATTTAACAAGTTTAGGGATTTAAACAAGAGAGCTGAGTGTTGTCTGAAAGCAGAGTTTATTATTCTGATAGCAGATTTTTGCTGGGTGATGATGGACTTTGTCGGAACACCCGACACCATTTAATAATATCAATTCTACAGGCAGATAATATTGCTGCCATTGTATACACAAGTTAACCCATATAAAATGTAGCTTGTAGTGGAATTTTCCATCAATAGAAAATGGGATATCATTGCCACATACTATTATAAATTCTCCACCTATTTTGTTGGGAATTAATCTTAAATATTCTTAATATTTTCTTAATACTCTTAATATTCTTAAAAGTCTTCAGACTTTTACCATCATAAAAACATCTTATTTGAATTAACTTAATTATCAGTATCAAAATAAAGTAAATGTGACCCTTCTATCAGTTACTGATATCGCTACAAAGTGAGGGAGGCGTCAGTGAGGAAGGAGTAGTCAGCCATTGTTGTTAAGACCAGAGGCGCAGGAAGCAAATTCGGCTCCTATCATTTCTCTTGGACGAAGTGTGAAGGAGATCAGAGTAGTGGTCTTCCATCAACACGATGTCAACATAATCAAGGGAAGTGTTCTACCGAAACCCATTTATCTAATCATTTTTGGCCATTAATGTTAGGTAGATATTGGGCGAACCGGTTAGAATGCGAACTCGCCTCATACTAAAGGTAATTATGCCTTGGTCCTTATCATATATAATATACAGTGTTTTCTCTGATATAGCTGTCATATATTAGGATTCTGGCTTTACAGCTAGAGCCTTTACAGCTTTGACAGGAACAAGAAGAGGAAGCAAGCTTGGTATATCAGTTACTGGGTGATGGAAGCTGCCTCACACTAGGATAATTTGCTGTCTACATCCTAGTTATACCTGGTGGACTAAACCTGTTGTACAATAAGATAAGGAACCTCCTCAATGTATACTAATATATGTAGTTTAATACTGTAGTTTGATTGGCTGCATATATATAAATTCAATATAAACCCCCCTAATGTGTATGGATCGATTTGTGAGATTATTGCAGAAATACAGTCCACTTAACATCATACAAATTGCTATCGAAGTATATAAATTAACGTAAATATAAATTCTATATAAATTCATATAAATTAAATAAATATAAATCTCACAGATCGGTTCCCACATTATTTGGTCATCTTCGAACTGGATGACATTATTTGGTCATCTTGGTACTGGATGAACCAGTTAACCAGTGGATTCAATAAATATACTAGTGCATTGTGATTTATACAATAACAATATTGCCAGTCAAAGACGGCAGCGTAGCCTCCCTCAAGCGAGCTCAGGAACCCCTCAGCTCAGTCCAGCCTCATCAGCGGTTTCATGGCCAACCACCGATTTGGTGGGATGTTATTCTGTGAAATGACAGCGCTTATATTGAAGCCAGCCAAATTAGTGGCTGTGTCCTCACGAGATTGTTCACGGATTACGTGGTGTTAATTTCGCGAGAGATTATCCACGATTTTTTGTAGTTAGTTTCGCGAGGTCACTAATAATATTTAATACTCCTTGATAATATTAGAAGTTTCATACAGGCAATTAAGAGGCTATCATCAATAATTGTGTATATTATTTCTCTTAACACCCTTCAACAGCAACACACTTTTACCCAAGACGAATCAGATCAAGACAAACTCCTTGATTCTGTCGTCATCTCTTCACGTGATTTTCCCTAAGAATCTGAAGGAGAAGACTGTGCTGCCATCGTGATCCATGAATTGCAAGATAAGATAAAGTATTCAATCAACACAATTAAGTGACATCAAATCAGCTTATAGAGTGGGAATCAAATCACCTGGTATAAGTAACAGGATAATTCGAGTTAAACTAGATTGCTGCTCCTGCAAGTCAGACCTTATCAAATCTGCAGTCTCTTGTAAATTCACTGTTAATGTGAATCAATGTCTGACCAGGTTCAGACAAAATCTTTTATTTAAACTGTGTGGTTTCTGCAAAATATCCCCTGTAATTAAACATTGTTTTATGCGAGATGGTAAAATTATAGCTAAGAGGACTGACACTGGAAAAACCTATTGAATAACCATTGAAGCTCACCTCAATTCTTTCCTGAATGACTGTGGGATAGCTGCTGAATAACCAGAATTCAAATTATAATCTCATTAACTACCAATGTGTACTATAGTTCTGCCTTTCCTTTCAAAAGGTTTTAACTTTATTTAAAAAAAAGTCATCTTTATTATTGTCTTTTTTTTTCTTTTTTACTCCCTTGTTCCATTGTACACTGGATTTGCCTGTGTCTTCTAGTATAAACTTTATCATCCAATGTACCTGAGTGTGTGTCTATTTAATCTACCATTTTGTTTTAGTGTAACTTTAGTATTCCACTATAGTGGTCTTATAATATTATAGTAAGTAAGCTATTTGTTTTATTTATTTCTTAATTGCTTTTTTACTTTTATTGGTCATCTATTGTTATTAATTATTCTAGTTCATTTTTACTTTTCTTAAGTTCCTATTAAGTTTTTATTACTTAAATTACTGTTAAGTTTATATTACTTTAGCATTTTTATTCTACTTTTTTTGTAACCCAGGGGCCAGATTCACGAAAGCACTTACGCAAACACTTACGAATCTGTACTTCTTTTCTCAATCTTTGGCGGCTTTGTTTCCAATTATTAAACAGTTAATAAGCTCCGAAGCACCAGGAGGCTGTTTATAACAATAACAACAGTTGAATGGGAAGTTTTCATGCTTGTAAACTGTTTAATAAATGTAACTAAAGCCGTCAAAGGTTAAGGAAAGATGTACACGTTCGTAAGTACTTGTGTAAGTGCTTTCGTGAATCTGGCCCCAGGTTGCCTAGCCTCACCACCCTTGCTCCATTGTGCTCTTGGCTTTGCCTGTGCAATTTTGATCATTAGTGCAAATTATTACCTAAGTGTACCTGAAAGTACCTTCAAGCAACCTACCTCATTTTTGTATATAGTTTTATATATTCTTTTTTTTCATAGCTAGTTCTTTTATAATTGTCATTTTTGGCTTTTCTGTAAAACAGCCCTCTTATGCAAACTATTATAAACTCAGACCTTAACCTTTTATCTAGTATCTATGACAATCATCACTTTAATGATCAAAATTGCAAGTATTATACAGCACATGTGGAAATACAGATGTGTGGAAAAAGGCTAACATAGTTCCAATCTACAAAAGTGGAAGCAGAGAAGACCCCCTTAATTATAGACCGGTATCATTGACAAGTGTAATAATCAAAATATTGGAAAAACTAATTAAATCTAAATGGGTAGAACACCTGGAGAGAAATGATATAATATCAGACAGACAGTATGGTTTTCGATCTGGAAGATCCTGTGTATCAAATTTACTAAGTTTCTATGATCGAGCAACAGAGATATTACAGGAAAGAGATGGTTGGGTTGACTGCATCTATCTGGACCTAAAAAAGACTTTCGACAGAGTTCCACATAAGAGGTTGTTCTGGAAACTGGAAAATATTGGAGGAGTGACAGGTACGCTTCTAACATGGATGAAAAATTTTCTGATAGAAAAATGAGGGCTGTGATCAGAGGCAATGTATCGGACTGGAGAAATGTCACAAGTGGAGTACCACAGGGTTCAGTTCTTGCACCAGTGATGTTTATTGTCTACATAAATGATCTACCAGTTGGTATACAGAATTATATGAACATGTTTGCTGATGATGCTAAGATAATAGGAAGGATAAAAAACTTATATGATTGTCATGCCCTTCAAGAAGACCTGGACAAAATAAGTACATGGAGCGCCACTTGGCAAATGGAATTTAATGTTAATAAATGCCATGTTATGGAAT